TGCAGCCATAAAAAAGGATGAGTTTGTGTCCTTCGTAGGGACATGGATGCAGCTGGAAACCGTCATTCTCAGCAAACTATTGCAAGAACAGAAAACCAAATACCGCATGTTCTCACTCATAGGTGGGAATTGAACAATGAGATCACTTAGACACAGGAAGGGGAACATCACACACCAGGTACTATTGTGGGAAGGGGGTAGGGGGAGGGATAGCATTAGGAGATATACCTAATGTAAATGATGAGTTAATGGGTGCAGCACACCAACATGGCACGTGTATATATATGTAACAAACCTGCACATTGTGCACATGCACCCCAGAACTTAAAGTATAATAAAAAAAAAAAAAAAAAGAAAACAAAAAGGATAGATCCATCAATGAGGTTACAAATTATTGCCTTTATGTTGTGATAGACCACGGCCAGGTAGAAAAGGATGAAAGAGAAGGACACACACACAGAGACACACACACACACACACACACACACACACAGAGAGAGAGAGAAACAGAGAGAGAGCTCAGTGAATTGGCCAGGTGACACACTGATGAGGGAGTCAAGGACACTCTGTATTTGTGCCGTCAGGACACACAGTGAACAGTGATCATGAAAAGAGTGGGCTCAATAATTTCGCATAAAATGTGCTCAAGTTTCCCTGCAGTCACCATGAGAATACAGCTTTTGAGGTATGGTCAACCTTCACTATGTTAGTAAATGATAAGGGTAGGAAGAAATGGAAACCTAAACATTTACTGTAATGAGAATCAAAAGCAATGTTAGTAGGGGTAATTCAGACTTGTCTGACAAGATGAAATCATTATTTTCAGCATGTACTGTTTTCCCTGGACTTGGCATCACCAGGTGTCAACATCAAATTAATAGTCCACAATTTCTCAGACTCACCTGGGACCTGTGTCCTCTTGGTCCTACTTTTTCACTTGATCCCACCGATGTCCTGCAAATAAATTCAGATAGGGCCTCTTACATTAAGCAGTTCTTCCTTGCACACAGAAACATTCCTCTGTCCAATCCTAACACAGGGACATCAGTCTTCTCAGTGTGAGAACAGGAGACTTTGAGAAAAATATACCAGGAGGCCTGAGGTCAAGTCTTGAGAGAACTGACTTGGTTCCTTTCATGAGCCTTGGGCAAAATTCCCATTTTGGAACGTTATCTTCCCAATGAGCTCTGTCCTAGGTTTCTGTACAAATGAGCAAAGTCTTTCCCAATAGATTGTAGGCAAAGAGTTCTAACACCTCGTAGAAGAGATACTGCAATACTCAGGCTTCTCTCATCAAATACCCAGGATTTGATACTTTACGAGATTGGGGACACTGAGATTTGATGAAGGGGTGCAATGTATCAGCTCTTGAGTCACAGTGAACTTGGTTCTACACAGAAGCATCAGCTGTTATGGTTTTGTGGATGAAAAGTCAGTCATTTATCTAGAAAACATACCAGCAAGATGATGGACAGCTGAGCTAAAACAAGCCAACTTAGAAGACACAGAAAATGGGGATGAATTCAGTGAAACCTGGGTCACATCTTCCACTGAGAGGTAGACAAGGGTGACACTGGCCTTGGGCAGGTAGAGAACCGCACAGACATGCTTTGGGAACGAAACTCATAAGGAACTTTGTAGCTGGCAAGAGACATTTAATTCAGATGAGCTGATCTGACAGACAACTCCTGGGCATGTGCTGCAGAGCTTGGTGTGAGTTCGCCACACCTGCCTTGAGTTCAATGTCCTGACAGTCAGTCAAGGGTGGCAAGGGCATGGCCTGAGACTAGGAAGAGAGCAAAGCTCACTGACCCACCCCATGCCTGTGCTTCAGATTTAACTCCAGAGTGATTGAAATCTACACTGATATATAGGTTCAGCTCACAGTGATGGCAACTCTCAGCCCAACCAGGGGCACAAGGCCCAAAGATTATGGGGTCTACATGGGACATAAACTGGAGCTTCATCACCTTCACAATGGAGTACTCACTGCCTATGTCAAGAGCCAAGCCGACTTGCTGTTCTTCTAATGAGGGAAAGGTGCTCTTGTAAGACTGGTACGAGGCAGACATGTCAGCAGGAATTGAGAGAGTCAAATAACCTTCATCCCAGGACTCCTAGGGGGCTTCCTCCTCTTCAGACTCCTGCAGATTCCTGATGAGCCAGGCAGGACAGAGATGACAGAAGATTAAACCAACAGAGATTAGACAACAAAACCCCCCAGATGATCTGATGGGAGAGAGAATGGAGTGGTCACAGAAACCAAAGGCATTTTTCCTTCAAGAGAAATAAAACTATCCTTCTAAATGCAGGGTGGAGGGTGACTGCTCTGAGGACAGAGCAAAAATGGGCAGCACGTGCTCAGTATATTTGCCACAGATGAGCCAACGCAGGGCACCCAGACTCTCCCTGTAAACTACCGTCATGACTTGCAGCACAGAGAACTAACACACGGCTTCAACTACTTTGCATAAATTGGGTTGAATTTTGCATGTGACATTCAAGTGAACAGAGCTCTTGAGGCAGTGCAGACACACAGCTTGTGTATTAAGGGCCCCATTTTTCCAATATTTTGATATAATATGTTTATTTTTCCAATTTCTTTTCTTGCACAAATACTAGCAAACATACTAACAACAAATGGGCAGAAAGCATATATACATCTCTCTCTGGATTTAAACACATGGGAGAGAACAGGTGACACCAAGAAATCCCTGTTTGAGGGTCTGGAGTGGACTTCCAGCAAACTCCAACAGACCTGCAGCTGAGGGACCTGACTGTTAGAAGGAAAACTAACAAACAGAAAGGAAAAGCATCCACATCAACAAAAAGGACGTCCACACCAAAACCCCATCTGTAGGTCACCAACATCAAAGACCAAAGGTAGATAAAACCACAAAGATGGGGAGAAACCAGAGCAGAAAAGCTGAAAATTCTAAAAACCAGAGCGCCCCTTCTCCTCCAAAGGATCACAGCTCCTTGCCAGCAACGGAACAAAGCAGGATGGAGAATGACTTTGACGAGGTGACAGAAGTAGGCTTCAGAAAGTCGGTAAAAATGAACTTCTCTGAGCTAAAGGAGGATGTGCAAAACCATCACAAGGAAGCTAAAAACCTTGAAAAAAGAATAGATGAATAGCTAACTAGAATAAACAGTGTAGAGAAGACCTTAAATGACCTGATGAAGCTGAAAACCATGGCACGAGAACTACATGACATATCCACAAGCTTCAGTAGCTGATTCGATCAAGTGGAAAAACGAATATCTGTGATTGAAGATCAAATGAATGAAATGAAGCAAAAAGAGAAGTCTAGAGGAAAAAAAAACAGTAAAAAGAAATGAACAAAGCCTCCAAGAAATATGGGATTATGTGAAAAGACCAAACCTATATTTGATCGGTGTACCTGAAAGTGACGGGGAGAATGTAACCAAGCTGGAAAACACTCTTCAGGATATTATCCAGGAGAACTTCCCCAACCTAGTAAGGCAGGCCAACATTCAAATTCAGGAAATACAGAGAACACCACAAAGATACTCCTCGAGAAAAGCAACCCCAAGAATCATAATTGTCAGATTCACCAAGGTTGAGATGAAGGAAAAAATGCTAAGGGCAGCCAGAGAGAAAGGCTGGGTTACCCACAAAGGGAAGCCCATCAGACTAACAGCAAATCTCTCGGTAGAAATCCTACAAGCCAGAAGAGAGTGGGGGCCAATATTCAACATTCTTCAAGAAAAGAATTTTCAACCCAGAATTTCATATCCAGCCAAACGAAGCTTCATAAGTGAAGGAGAAATAAAATCCTTTACAGACAAGCAAATGCTCAGAGATTTTGCTACCACCAGGCCTGTCTTACAAGAGCTCCTGAAGGAAGCACTAAACCTAGAAAGGAACAACCGGTACTAGACACTGCAAAAACATGCCAAATTGTAAAGATCATTGCTGCTAGATAGGAAGAAAGTGCATCAACTAATGGGCAAAATAACCAGCTAACATCATAATGACAGGATCAAATTTACACATAACAATATTAACCTTAAATGTAAATTGACTAAATGCTCCAACTAGAAAACAGACCGGCAAACTGGATAAAGAGTCAAGACCCATCAGTGTGCTGTATTCAGGAGACCCATCAGTGTGCTGTATTCAGGAGACCCATCTCACATGCAGAGACACACATAGGCTCAAAATAAAGGGATGGAGGAAGATCTACCAAGCAAATGGAAAACAAAAAAGGGCAGGGGTTGCAATCCTAGTCTCTGATAAAACAGACTTTAAACCAACAAAGATCAAAAGAGACAAAGAAGGTCATTACATAATGGTAAAGGGATCAATTCAACAAGAAGAGCTAACTATCCTAACTAAACATATATGCACCCAACACAGGAGCACCCAGATTCATAAAGCAAGTCCTGAGAGACCTAAAAAGAGATGTAGACTCCCACGCAATAATAATAATGGGAGACTTTAACACCCCACTGTCAATATTAGACAGATCAACGGACAGAAAGTTAACAAGGATACCCAGGAATTGAACTCAGTTCTGCACCAAACAGACCTAATAGACATCTGCAGAACTCTCCACCCCAAATCAATGGAATATACATTCTTCTCAGCACCACATCGCACTTATTCCAAAATTGACCACATAGTTGGAAGTAAAGCACTCCTCAGAAAATGTAAAAGAGCAAACATCACAACAAACTGTCTCTCAGACCACAGTGTAATCAAATTAGAACTCAGGATAAAGAAACTCATTCAAAACCACACAACTACGTGGAAACTGAACAACCTGCTTCTGAATGACTACTGGGTAAATAATAAAATGAAGGCAGAAATAAAGATGTTGTTTGGAACCAATGAGAACAAAGACACAACATACCGGAATCTCTGGGACACATTTAGAGCAGTGTGTAGAGGGAAATTTATAGCACTAAATGCCCACAAGAGAAAGCAGGAAAGATCTAAAATTGATACTCTAACATCACAATTAAAAGAACTAGAGAAGCAAGGCAAACAAATTCAAAAGCTAGCAGAAGACAAGAAATAATAACGAAGATCAGAGCAGAACTAAAGGAGATAGAGACACAAAAAAAACCCTTCAAAAAATCAGTGAATCCACGAGCTGGCTTTTTGAAAAGATCAACAAGAAAACCCTGTTTGGTTCACTCACCTGGTTCATCTGATTGCAAGTGCCTATATTGAGAGGACTATGAAATTAAAACCAATACAGTTACCACAAATAACGTACAACATTGTTAATAAGGACAATTTGTAGCTGGGTGAACAGAAGAAATAGTTCTATTCATCACCACCCCTTTTTCCCTAAATCTACAATCTCTAGGTGTCACTACTGAAGTAACAGCCCACAATTCCACAGCATTACCTGGGAGACACTGGCCCTTTTTCTTCCTCTTCCTCATCATCACTTTCATTTTCTATAAATAAATTCAGAGAAGCATGTCACATTAAGCAATTCGCACTTCACATATGACCAAATCACTGTCCAGTCATAGCACAAGGATGTAACTATTCTCAGTGCAAGAATATGAATTCTGACAGGAATACTCTAGGGTGTCCTAGATAAAGTGTGGTGAGAAGTAGATGACCCTGCTTTCCAGACCCACAGGCCAAAGTCTCCCTTTACATGTAGACCATAATGCCATATTCCCTGCCTGAGTCAAAGTTAAACAAAATTTTTCCCAAAAAACTCTTCAGAAATTGGTCAAACAATTTTCTAGGAGTGTTGCTGCAATACTGACTTATATCACCAGGTAACATGGACATTAAATGTTTAGAGGCATCTATACATGAAACTCAACTGATAGATAAATTTGAACAACTCTTGCTTTAAAAAGAATCTGTGATTCGGGAGGCCAAGGCAGGTGAATCATTTGAGGTCATGAGTTCAAGATGAACCTGGCCAATATGGGGAAACTTGGTCTCTACTAAAAATACAAAAATTAGCCAGATGCAGTGGTGTGCACCTGTGGTCCCAGCTACTCAGGAGGCTGAGGCAAGAGAATCACCTGAATCTGGGAGGCGGAGGTTGCACCAAGCCAAGATGGTGGCATGACACTCCAGTCTGGGTAACAGAGCAAGACTCCATTGCAACAACAACAACAAAAATCTATGATGCTAAAAAGAAACACTGGATCAGCCGTTGCACTGATGGGGTGGAGAAACAGGGTCCAGCCTTGCTTTATGGAAATATATCAGCAAAGTAAAGAAGAAAATTTTCCGTCCTGATTTCAGGGTGACTGTGCAGCTAAGCAAGCTGACTTAAAGGAGATCAAGATTAAAGCTGAGAGCAGTGAAGCCTAGGGATCAATATTTCCAGATACAAAGGCAAGGCTGCCAGCTTCCTTAAAAAGGCATAGAAACTCCATGAACATTGTTCAGGGACAGATGACTTAATCGCAGATGACAAGAGATATTGAATCGAAGCTAGAAGGCCTGACAGATATTTCCTGTGCACCTCCTGCACTCAGGTGACTATGAGATTGTCACATCTGCATGGGGTCCAGTAACTTGATACTGGGGACTGGCAGACAAAGGCATGACATGAGCTGAGAAGGACAAAAAACTCCCTGATATCTGTTTAGATGCCACCGTAGGTTTTATTCAAAACAATTTGTGTGTATAGAGCCTGTCTTCAGAGTTTACCTTCCTCAACCTACACAGAGGCAGGAGACATAAGGAAAAGAGAGGCTACTTGGGATAACATGTACAGCATCTGCCCACTCATCATGAGAGGATGAGTCAATGAAAGGTGAGTTGAATTTGTCTTCATCAAATGTGATCTTGGTATTCCTGTGTGGCTGGTTGGAGTCACAAGGAACATGGCTATTTGAACAAGTGACAGCGCATTCCTCCAGTAAGTCCTCAGGGACTTCCCTTTCTTTGGCCTTCTGCACCTCCCTGATGAGCCAGGTGGGACAGAGAAGAAAGAAGATTAAACACAGAGGGATTGCACCCCAGGGAATCCTAGCTGGTTTTGGCAAGAGGCAAAAAGAGAGTAGTCCAAGAAAGCAAACAGGAGGTTCCCTTTAAGAAGTGACAGGCAATCCTCTTCTCTCTGCAACAGAGCATGGCTGCCATGGGAGCCAGAGAGGAAGAGAGCAACTGGTGTTCACTGCACTGGAAAGATAGGAGCTGAGGAGGATGAAGACTCAGCTATCCCTGTACAGTACAGACATGACACTCGGCACACACAGAGAGACAACAGCTGCCACACCCTGTTTCTAAGCTGGGTTGAATTTCACACACTGTGGCCAAGGGAATGCAGGCTTGGGGCCCATCGTAGATGCCAGAGAGGGTGCGCCTCCTAGACCCTTTTCATATGTTACCACCCACTACTTGCTCCTGAGTATTCAGTGTCACCTGGGGGCACACGAATCCTGTACTTTCTCAGCCTCCTCAACTTGAACATCTGCATCCTCACCTTGGCCATTTTCTGTAAATACAGAAGTGTTCGTTCAGGTATTTCCCACTTCACACTCTGCAAGCACAGTCAGCCCAATGAGCACAGAGACATGAACATCTAGGCATGGGTCACCATTCAACTGAAAGCTCTCATGTTTTATCTTTAACAAAATGACCTGGCGTTGTTTCCTGATCCATCAGGCAATGCATTTCTGATCTGGAGGGCCACCATCAAGATATGGCCAAATCTTGAAAAGACCTTTTGCTCCCCATATCACTGGAGGCTTGTGCAGCCTCTCTCTGGCCTTTGGCAGCTGTTTCCCCCATCCCGCCACAGATCTGATTCCCAGGCACGGGCTTGGTGTCCTGTCACAGTTTGCATTTCCAACCTAATTCTTTCTCTTAGGAGAGGACAAACTTGTCCCACAGTCCTCTATACATCAGGAGACTGCACAGGCCCTCCACGTGGCTTCTGCTGTGTTATTCAGGGACATTCTCTCCGTGGGGAGTGCTCCAGTCTGAAGCCCTTCCTACCACCAAATGCCCCCACATCAAGTGCCTTCTCCAACACCACATGGCGAGGGGCTTCATCTCATTTTGAAAAACAGTCGTAAGTGTTCCCACATTTGGATGCTTCGGACCCTTGCAAGAGACAATTTGCCTGCCTTTGCAGATGGAGAGAGAGAAACTCAGGAAGGATAAATCACTCCCTCACCGACAGTTACTAAGAACATTGCCAAAGAGACAGCCTGGGAACCTTCATTTTTAGTCCAGAGCTCTTTTCACTCTAACAAGCGTCCTCCCGTCACAGCCTCCTTCCTGTCCTTTAAAACTAGACAGACGCTGCCTCTTGTTCCAAAGACCACCTTCCATCAAGGAAGGAGGGTCATTTGCAATACTGTGACCTCCAACCTCATGGGTTTCCCATCTCCGTTCTTACCCAGGAAGTCCTGGTCATGTCATGGCCACATGTTTAGTGGAAAAAAGCCCCACCGATACAACTGTCATTGTGAAAGTGTGGAGGTCTGGAGTCTCTCATAAGCCTAGGGTTTGGGGTCATCAGGGCCTGTGGCCATCTTACCTGAGCTGAGCTTGTGGACGAGGTGCTGTGCCAGCCTACACCCCTCAGCCAGCTGTTCTTGGAGGTCCCGCCACTGGGACTTGTCCGGCTCATCCGGAGTGAGGAGGGCCTGGAGATGCTGAGTCAATGAGCAGGAGGCATCTCTCCCTTCCCGTAACTTCTCCCTTAACTGGATCAGCTCTCATGCCTGAGAGTGAACCAGGACTTTATATTGCCTAAGGTGAGATGGTAGAGAACATTTAACAGTGGAAAGGGATGAGCGACAATGTCCTCAAGGAGAACTCCAAGCAGAAGGTCAGCACATGTTTAAAGGAATGCCCGTGGCCAAGAGAAAGGATAGAAAATGGTTTACAGGTTTCCTCTGTATCAGAGAGGATTCCTATAAGATCCTTGATGATGTTCCATTCATCTTTCTCTTCTGTAAACAAAAGTAGGTGTTTTCCTAATTCCATTTCAAAGACATCCTTTCAGTTCCTCACCATGGCCACGGACATTTCCATGTGAAAATACGCATAGTGCATCTTGCGGCGATAGATACAAAGCCATGTACAGAAATGAGACCAGGTGCAGATGGGGCGAATTGAAAAGACGAAAGAAGAAAAGAATGACAGGGTCGAGAAGGCAACATTGAATGAGTGGAAGAATGAGACACCGTAGCCAGTCAGGAGGTGATTCTGACTAAGGGTAAGTGGGGTGGTGATGACACACCATTTTGAGTATACTGAATGCTGCTGGGTGGTTTGCACTCCTTTGATTAATTTCATGTTATGTAAATTTCACCTCAACAATTACTTGTTTGAAAAAGAGAAAACAAGGCTCTGAGAAACAACTGCAACCCATAACTTATTATTATCCTTGTTCTCTGTTTGATAAATATTTGTGTGTCATGAGCCTGCCATGGCAATTCCTTCCCTTTCCTGACCCAGCTTAGCTCTTACTTCTCCCCGCCGAGCTGCTGTACGTCAGAGATTTACACACCTGCCCACCTGCCTGCCCCCACGGGGCCCCCTCACCTGAGCTCCTCAGCTTGCTTGAGCTGCTCTGCGAGTTTCTCCCCCTTGAACTGCAGCTCATCCCTCAGCATAGATTTTATGAGGTCTTTGCACTCTTCATACTCTGAGAAAAGACAGACACGCCTGCCTCAGTGGAAGGCTGGACATGCTGCTGTGGTCACTGCCTACAGGGCAGGAGGCAGGTCCATACCAAGGACAAAACTGTCCCCGCTACCAGGCTCTAGGCAGGGATTTCCACATCTTTACTCTTCAGTCACCCGACTTTCTGGCATCTGATCCTCCAAAATTTAGAGACAAAGAAAGAAACTCAAGGGCACATCAAGGAAGTTGACAAGATGATTCAACCACAACGAAGTGGAGTCAGAATTCACAGCCCCTGAGGTCTGAGTCTGAATGCGGGGCCGCTTTCCCAAGCCTTCAGCCTCTCCTCTAAAACACTGCACTGGGCCATGAAGCAGTGATTTCTTATACAGTTGGGAAGGCCCCTAGGACTATGGGGCTGATGGTTTCCCTTTTACTGGGAATTTCAAGGACAAGTATGTCAAAGATTTTTAAAATCTTTGATTTCTAAATCATATCTTCAGATAAGATTTTAAGAATCATATCTGAAACATAAAGTATGAGACATAAGACCATAAGGCCATGAAGGAAATGTGCTCAAATACTAATAAAGTTTGTGTTAATTTAGAAACAGTAGAATGAAGAACTAATAGATAGTGTTTACTCTGTGCCAGTAAGTGCTCTAGGAGATTGACAAGAAATAGCTCATGTAATTCACTGCAGCAATTTACAGAGGTAGCTATTATTGTAGTACCCTATGAACAGATGAGGAAACTGAGGGACAGACAAGACAAGCAAGTTGGATGGAGCCCAGGATAGAGGCCCAGGTCCCTGCTCTGCCCACTGCACTACTACTTCCACACATTGTTGGGTGCGATCTTTCTTCCTCTTTAGGAACAAGAGCCTGTGCCCCAGGAAGCAGGACTTCCTCTCACCAGGGTACTCTCTGCTTTTTTTTTTTTTTTT